TTCTGGGATCCTGACGGAGAGCTGCACGTTTTCTTTCTAGATATCTAGGATCCTGCCATACATTTCTATGGAAAAGATTTGTCCAGAAACGTTTATAGTCCGTTTTTCTCAAGGAAGAATTTCTTAAATGTGCCATATGTATTTCACTCTCCCACCACATTTGTCTTTTATGTTCATGTGGTATGCACGGTTTGCATAAACGGTACTGACATTCTTCAAAATTATCATTTTGCTCTATCAAAAAATCATCAAAATCTTCTGAATTTCCTGCCCCATTTGTCTCTTTATTTTCATTTTTGTTTTCTTTAATTTCAATTTCTTTATAATCCCAGTAATGGTGAGCAAATAAATTATAAATAGTTTCTTTTTGTTATTCTGTAACTTCAAGAGCCAAGATAGATTTTCCTTGATTTACACTGTCGTCCATTTTCAGTTGATAGCATAGATATGACCAGAAACTTTGCCCTCCAAAAATGTGAACCAAATGCTCCAAGCGAAATTGAAAATAAAAGGAACTACTGGAGGGAAATAAATCATATTTTTTTAAGTAAAAGGTACTAATTCATGTTTGTAAATGCTCTTTTATTCTGTTTTAGATAAAATAATATTTTCTAAATAAAAAGTTGTTTTACCTATTTGTTTACATGCTGTTCTACTGAGGTAATAAATCCTGAAAGAACCTCAAGTAATGATAAACCCCAGCATAATAAATTATCTCTCAAAGAATTTCCACTATTTTGGCAGGAACTGTTTACTTATGTGTATGTTTGTGTAATATTATATTTCAGGACAAGTGCTTTCTACAAAGAGGGATGGAGAATGTAATCCAATCCTGTTATATTATTTGTTTTTGTCATTATTCATTAATACTTAAAAAAAAAAAGAATTCTTATACATGTATCTTTGAAATAAAATATAAAAATAAGATAAAGACATAATCTTTAGATTATAATTATGTTTTTTGTCATATATATTATCCACCACTCCCCTTTCACCCAATTTACTATATAAACTCATCCATAATCTGTATGGGAACTCAACTGTTTGGTCATTTCAATATTAATAAAAAATCTTTAAAGACAAAATTATGGCTAGTCCACAAAAAAAAAACGAAAAAGAACCCCAAGTTTCAGAATGGAGTTTTCAGGAAGTGATGAAAAGAAGGCAGAAATTCTTGGTAAAATACTGGAAATTAGGAATATATTGACTCAAAGGTTAAACAAACCTACAGGAAATTTGCAAGTTTTAGAATTTATTGGAGATGTGGTCTAGTCAGGAAGTAGGGAATGCATCTGATGAACAATCTATACATGTACCAGATCCAATACCAAGTACCTACGCTAAAGCTAGGAAAAAAGATGTTAACCAAAAAATATTCATGTGTGCTGAGAACTCACTAAAACGTTACAAAGAAGTGGTGGAAGCTCATTAAACATAAACACAACCTAATTATAGAGAAATGGACAACCAACAAGAGGACATGTAATTATGACAAGAATGAAATGTGAATCCTCTCACATTTTTCTGTGGTCTTCTTCGCCATACATGCAGAACAAGGAATACTTGGTGAATAACAGAGTGCAACATGGTCTGATCTGTAGAGGAATGTTGCCATCACATTATACCAAGTTTGTAGATGGTGCTGGAATCGGGAAAATTAATAAGGAAAATCGAAATAAGTTCTACAACTCATATGAAAACCACATTCAAACAGTATACAACAAGTCTACAACAACAGCCTTGCTTGAAGAATCAGCCTCATATTATGGTGACAAATTTGGAGAAATAGATATTTTAACTGACGCAAGGCATGACTGGCGTAAAAACGCTAAAGATGCAAGTATTGTTGCGATTGGTGAGAAAACACACAAAGTTTTATCTTGTCAACATGTAACCAAAGCTGACGATGTTGTGTCTCAAAGACACGAACGTATTGGTACTGATAGGGTTTTTACATATTTGGCTGAAAAGGAGGTTGCTGTAGGTGTCCATTGCCATGACAGGAATCTATCTATTAACAAAAACATTCGTGAAGAAACTGATGCAATTAATCAAAAACGATACATGGCATTGTGTTAAAGCAGTAAAAACAGCTCTGAAAAAAGTTGCATCTGGAACAGCAAAAAACCTGAAAGAAAAACGTGGTCCTTTCAACTAAGTGATAAAGTGGAACATGTATCAACTCATATTCATTAGTCAATCAGAAATTGTAACAATGATCCAGAGAAATTAAAGTCTTCAATTCTGAATGAAGTTGACCAAAACAGACATTTATCTTGTGATCCTTCCTCTAGATGTAAATATGATAAAAATTATGAACCATCAAGAATTGTTTTGACTGATCCAGTGGCTGAAAAAATGTTACTTGGAGTACTTTTAAATTCCAACATTATTAAATATCCTCGGGATTTTGTTTTAGGAAAAGACACATTTTATGTTGAAAGTTTCAACAACGTTATAAATATTTATCAGGATAAGCCTATTGCGTTTGGTGACAAACAGTACAATGCACGTTCAAACTTGGAAGTTTGTCAATGGAATGAAAATGTTGACAGGGACTTCACTTCTTTTTCAAATCCGCGAAATCCTAGAACACCTAAAAGTGTAAGAGGCAAGAAAAATTATAAACAGAAAACATTTAAATTTCGAGGAAATATGGAAAACTATTGTAAATGTTGTATATTCAAGGAAAAGAACCAGGAGGAATTAGTTCTTAAATATTTATAACTATATGATATACATGTATCATCAAAATTGCACATTTAATGTTTGAATTTATTTTATTTTCTACTTTTACTTTTAATAACTGGATGATTTTAAGTGTTTATTTTATACCTATTGTCAGTCTGGATTTAACAAATAGTACTGCATTAAATGAATGGTTAGTATAAATCTCTTTCTCACTTAATTGATAAGCCATGTTTTCTGCACATAAACAAACTATTTTTAACACAGATTATGATAACACACTGGCAAGATCCGCCTCATTTCCATATTGGCTTAATCACTTACCACCTGGTAAAAGTTTTAGGTCAGACCCGGTCTTTAAATATAACTTAAACAATAGATATAGGAAGATGTGGTATGAGTGCCAATGAGACAACTCTCCATCCAAGTTACAATTTATAAAAGTAAACCATTATAGGTCAAGGTACGGCCTTCAACACGGAACATTGGCTCACACCAAACATCAAGCTTTAAAGGGCCCCAAAAAAATACTAGTGTAAAACCATTCAAACGGAAAAACCAACGGTCTAATCTATATAAAAACGAGAAACGAGAAACGCGTATGAACTACATAAACAGACGACAACTACTGCAATCAGATTCCTGACTTAGGACAGGTGCAAACATTTGCAGCGGGATTAAACGTTTTAATGGTACCAAAACTTCTCCCTTTTCTGAAACAATAGTAAAACATCACAACATAGAAAAACACACTGTAAAATATCAATTGGAAGGCTTAACTCAATCAAAAAACGTAAATTAACACACAATGAACGAATAAATTTGACCTGTGACACCTGAATGCAAATACACAGTTAATAAAAAATTACAAGGGACAAATAATTAAAGTCAAAAGTAAATAAACAGGTTTAAACAAAGTTAAAGTATGATATCACTGTGAAATGTCAAACAATTTTTAGAAAATCATCACTTTTGAACAAACCTGCGTCATATTATACACAGGTAAATGAAAATAATTTTGTTGTTAAGTATACTTCTCCTTCTGTGTGTATAAAATCTTCCATTTAGGAATACCAAGAAATTTCTTTAATATCAATAAAAGTAATTTAACACTTGGTACATATGGGGTGAATATCAACAATAAAACTATACAATTAGTGCTAGATAAAACTTCCTGTACAGGTCCAAGAACAGCATCTTAGGAAAAATGAAATAATTTTGATGTTCATAGTACGAAGAAGTGAAAATTTGTAGTAACACCAAATAATCAGAGCTGGTATATAGACAAGATCCATGTTAACATTAAATAACAAAAAAGCATTACAAATAGTATCAACAGGTCAAATTAAAAAGAAAGTACGATTTGAGAGTACTCACAGTTACTGACAGCTAGTTAAAAGCCAAAACAATTAATAATAAAAAATCATGCATCAGAGACTAAAATCAACTAAAATACATCCCAGGGATTTAGTATCTTAACGTCATGAACAGTCAAAGAAGACATGACTTGTGCAATGCCAAAAATAAATTATCGACAGGTAGTAGGATAGTTAGGAGTGACTTCTTATAGATAAAAATGAACGTGTGTGTGTCTCTATACATCCCGTTTGAAAAGAAAATACAAATTTAGTTATGTTATAATTTGCTAATGACAAAATCGATATTAGTGCCAATGTAAACTATATTCAGAGATCTAATTACAACATTGGTACGATAACCCTTACTAATAAGTTTGTTTAAAGGTTCGATGAGATTACACAGATCACATAATGATTTCCGCGCTTTAAGTACAATATTACCATAAAATTTAGGATGTGAAATACCATTTTTAATAAGTTTTCTACAGGTACAGCCAAATTTACAAGCCTACTTAAATTATCCTTACTCATAACCCCAAATTTCTTTTTTTTTAAACCAGTTTCCTTCGTAAATGAGACACTGGAACTAATTATGAATAAGAAGATGTGGTATGAGTGCCAATGAGACAGCTCTCCATCCAAGTCACAATGTATAAAAAGTTAACAATTATAGGTCAAAGTACGGCCTTCAACGAGGATTCTTGGTTCACACCGAACAACAAGCTATAAAGGGCCCCAAAATGACCAATGTCAAACAATTCAAAAAGGAAAACCAACGGTCTAATCTACATAAAAAACGAGAAACGAGAAACACATATGAACCACACCAACAAACGACAACCATTGCGAAACAGGCTCCTGACTTAGGACAGGTGCATAAGGTTATTAGACTTTTTTCTTAAAATTGATTTATCATTATAAAGCTATATATATCTTCAACTAGTCAAAACACGGAAGGTAAAATTGACATAGTTTATAAAATTTAGAGTAAATACAAGGGAATAACAACACATAGGAGGAGACGACAAAAAGCACATTAAAGACTATAAAACAATGTCGTAAAGAAATAGATAAGAAGATTAAAAGAGTTTTTTATTCATTTCTCTAGAACTGTTCAACATAAAGTAATGATTGAAACGGATTTTGAAAGCTAATAGATTAGTCTCTAAATTGAAATACAAATATTTTTTATCGGACTTCATCTCAGCGACTCAAGTGGAAAAAACCGGACGGAATAACAAAGAGGAGACAGCTAATTAATTGATCATGGAAAAGGAAATTTTCTTTGCATTTGTCTGTTTATTTATCGCAGGTAAAGTATTTTTTTATAAATATTAACATATAAATTTCATCTTCAAAAACTTGAACATGTGTGAATACCTTTGAATACCGGCATATAATTTTCTCAGAAGTTTGAAATTGGTTAAATTTTACAATTGTAAATATAAATTGCATTTAATCAGTTGTCATATTGCATGTTCTTCATGTGTACACAGGTATACGATTATAATTGTGCTAATAGACTTCAGGTGAATCATCATCTTCATAATCATGTTTTGCATGTGCTTGTTTAAATGTAACAACAAATATATATCCCATCGGTATCAATTAGCAATTGTACATATTTTTTTTATTTTTATGATTATTTTGGATAATATTAAAAAGTGCAATTAATTAGATAAAAGGCAACACATTTTTGTGAGCAACTTTTATGTGCCTCTTATTTTGTACCAAATCTTTTCTAATAAAATGACAATTTCGGAGGCTCGATCTAGCTAGTTATTCGGATTTTAAATAAAGACATTATCAACAGCTGCTACACAGTACAATAGATATACAAACATGCACTCCTAGGTTGCACTTGTGTTAATTATATCATGCAATTTTCCATAGAAAAGTTACGCTTAAAACTGTTTTACTTTTACGATGAAGTTTCATACAAAGATTCTATTCTACTGCAGAAATGTCAATGGAGTATTTTTTTTAAAAGGTCACATAGAGTTGTTGACATTTTTTCAACATTTAGATGTTTCCACTTCCTTAACACTTATACTACAATTTTGTACAAAACCCTCCTTTTACTTTGAGTTTTCTGTTAGTTCATACTAAACGCTATCCCACTGTATTCACACTGGTAAAATCCACAGTTGTATCTCTATGATATTAAGCATGGAGATTATATTTATCTGGCAACTATTATGTAATCATACAAAAAATGTCTGATCTGTAAATACTTATGTTCTCCCAAAAATATGAGTCGTTTTTTAATAAGTGCAACGGCCTTATATTTTTGCATTAGTCTTTGTTTAAGTTGACATAAACTGTTGCTTATATATTTTGGTAAATGACTGTACCAAGTCAGGAATATGACACTTGTTATCCATTTGTTTGATGTGTTTGAGCTTTTAATTTTACCATTTGATTAGGGACTTCCCGTTTCGAATTTTCCTCGGAATCCGGTATTTTTGTTATTTTACTTTATACTATATCATATCTTATTTGATGGATCTTCTAAATATTTCTTTTTTTGCAGTATCGTTAAAATGTCACAAATTTTAAAAGTAACAAAATATACATTTACTACAAGAGTTCTCGTCATATTTATTAAGGCTTGTAAGGCAGGTTTAATGAGTTGATTGTAAACAAAACTCAACAAATTCTGTAAGTTTTCAATAATAAAACAAAGAGAAGTTGATTGACAGAAAATGTTGTTTACATTATATCTTTTCTTATTTAATGAATCTTCTAAATATTCCTTTTATTGCAGTGTCGTTAGAATTCCACAAATTCAAAAACTTATAGTGATTAAGATTATAACACAATGTTGACTGCTGTACCCCTATTTTTGACATTTTTACCTACTAAGTCTGTTTGTTTTGCTCACACATTGTTGTCAATATAATGAAATTCTATGCAACTGACATACAATTGAGAGGTTTAGCTAGCTATAAAACCAGGTTTAATCCACCATTTTCTACATAAAGAAATGTCTGTACCAAGTCAGGAATATGACAGTTGTTTTCCATTCGTTTGATGTGTTTGGTTTTTGATTTTGCAATTTGCTTAGGGACTTTCCGTTAAGAATTTTCCTCGGAGTTCGGTATTTTTGTTATTTTACTTTTTGGTTAGTTACTTTACTTTAACCATCGTGACATCAATCAATTAAACAAACATCTGGATGGTGATCTAATCCAATTATTTGATTAATTAATTTGGTCGGCACAGAGTGCACCGTTTAATTACATTCTTATAAAAAAAGGAGGCACTAAAAAATGGAGATAATCTAGAAACTATAAACAAATTCCTTTTTTTTTAATAGGCCTGATATGAAAAATCAAGATGCATGATATTGATGTCATGTGTCGACATCGCCATTATCTCCGAGGATTGTTAAGCTAAGTTGATTATTTCTTTTGAGATAGAAATGATAATAAAATGTTAATGAACATTTCGAGAGATCTCACACCAATATTTTTCATTTAAGTTTAATGAATGTTTTGTTAACTATATCTCAGAGAAATTGTAAAATCATTGTTGATCTATTATTTTTACAGGAGATATGTCCCTTTTAAATATAAGTGAAGAGGAAAATTCCACAGTGTTTTGGCTGAGGATATTTGCTACTCTTTTATTATTGTTTGATCCTGTATTGATTGATTGGGTGATTCATACAGACCTCTTGCACATATTTATTTAGGTAGTACACTGAAATGTATATGTAAAAACGTCTTTGGCGAAGTTTAAAAACACATTCTAAGAATAATTTACAACTTTTTGTTTTTCCGTCTTGGAAAACCTAAGCAAATACTGTAATAGATACATTTATTTTGATTCATATCAACTCAGGAAAGTATACAGATATATTTTTTAATGTAGAAAATTGACTTAGGTGTCAACGTATATCTAAGTCCAAAACATTTGTACATTTTGTTTGTTTCCAAATTACATACTTTTCTCCTTACATCAAATAGTTCAAGCTTTCCATACCAACTGGTGGATGACATCTCAATGGGGTGTGTAATGTATTAATTGGATTTAGATCTGTAGAAATGGGACACTCATTGAAAGTTGTGAAGTGTCCAATAGTCATACAGTACTTGGATGAAACAAGAACATAAGTAGATAGAAAGATAAGTCGGAAGTGATTCAAATTCCAAAAGTTTTAATTTACTGTTATCCATGTTTAACAGAATGTTAAGAATATTTCAGTGGGAATGGGAATCCATTAATGAATACCACTCCTGAAAAAGGTTATTTTGAAAATGAGACTTGCAAATTGAAATTATTTAGTTTTAGAGCCTCACAAATTGTAGTAATTCTATTTATGCAGGCATTGGGGCTCATCATTCTAAAAAATCTTTTAAAAATTTGTCTTGCAATTGAGAGTAACTTGTTTCAGGGGAAAAAAGTAGTATTACATTTTCCCAGTCTTAGGTTAACCTTTTGTGTAGGAAGTCAACTTTGGAGCGCTATGATTCTGTGTAAGGGTATAATATATTTTTCATTTCTTTATGAATAACTGCTAATACAACATAAATTTTGAATCACATTGAAATATTTTCTTCAGAATTATTCAAAAAAGCTTCCAAATTTTCATAAATTTGATGTAAAATGACGGTACCCATATATCCTATAGCTATATACAAGCTCTGTTCGAAGATGGTCATGCAACCATTTGACTTCAATTTCTAAAACAGAAAAATAAAGTACTAAAATCACACATAACTGTTTTGTCCAGGTTTTATTAGAAAAAGTGGTAATTTTAGAAAACGTTAGGATTGTTGCCTATGGAGAAAACAATACTACCGTTTCCCTTCAGAGCCTCACAAGTTTAGTAGTTTTATTTAAATGTTGATGATGTAATTAGTTGTTTGATCATTGATTCATGATAATGCTGAGGGGGCTTTGAACATAACATATATCATACAGTTTCATTGGCAGTTGTGTAGTTTTTAGTACAATTTTGTCTGTTTTGAAGTGTCAAGAAGTTTCAAATAATGTAAATTTCAAACTATAATAGATGTTTTATTAACATATGACCCAAAGACTCAGTGTTAAATATGTATACAAAATATTTAGTATCAAATATTTCTTTTATAAGGTTATAATTGATAAGGTTATATTAATGGATTGATCCAAAATAATTGATATGGGATAGTTTTGGGGTCAAACTCAATCTAAATCTAATTAAATCTCGGCACTCACTCATTTTTATATGCAGCGACCAAACATAAAAAAATGAGCGAGTGCAGAGATTTAATTTTAATATAAGATTAAGTCATACTGCAGTACCTGCCAAACCATCCACTTTATATGATAATGCATCTGATAGTTGCACAGAAGATATTGTGACAGTAGTGGATTCATAATGTGGTCATGAGGAATGCTCGGGTCACATTCCATGGACTATAAATGTCCAGACAAGATCATGTACATACAAATGTCTTTCTGTTGCATACATTACCAATCATTCACTCACATGTTTATTGTACTTTTCTACCCTCTTGTAAATCAGTACTGAACGGCTTCGTGATAATATTGTAATTTTGTACTTTTGGTAAATTCAGTACGTATTTTTACAGTACTGTAACAGTACTGATTTTTACAGTACTGTAACAGTACTGATTTTTGCAGTACTGTATAACAGTGCGTTTTTTTCAGTACTGTAGCAGTCCTGAGTTTTTTAGTACTGTAACAGTACTGATTTTTGCAATATTACTTCAGTACTGTTTGTAAACTGATTAATTTCAGAAGTGATTCAATACTTACTTTTGATTGCTGCTCCTTATTGATATTTCATCTTGTTGAAGTCACTCTTTCTGTGAAGTCTTTGTTTTTTGTTAGTTTAAATTCAACAACTCTTTCCATAATGATAAATAAATATAAGGAGATGTTGTATGAATGCCAATGAGACAACTATCCACTAGATAGACCATGAGATGTTGATATTAAGTATTATTTTGTTAATTCAGTTTTTTATATACCCATGTTTATAATTTTGGTGTGGTTTGAAGTATTTGAGTAAACACTCCTTGATGTTGCAAAATCAAATAGCATCTGTAGGATTATCGAAATTACACATCACATTGGAGTTCCGGCGAGATTTTGGTACGACTAATGTCAATCTTTTTTTTTAAATTGTCTGAATGAATATTGTCTATGATGTGTAATAGAATAGAGAATGGAAACAGGGAATGTATCAAAGAGACAACAATCTGACCTAAGATCAGAAGACAGCCAAGGCCTCCAATGGGAAGAAAATCCCACAGCCAGCAAGGTTAAACATGTTTCGTGAGATCTCAACTCTGCTCC